TGCGAGCGCCCCCTCTGGTGGGGAAACCTTTTTTTTCAGGGATACAAACATTTTCAGAACACCGGTAGACAGCAGCCATTACAGATGAACATGCTTGTTGTTGTTCGAGGAGCGGGTCGGTCACACACTAATGTCATTAGTTTGTTATCATTAAAAAGGTGCAGGATTACTTTTTAACCCTTTTTTCACATCATGTCTCCTGCCTGGATCTGTTATTATCTCGCTCTGAAGCACAGAGGAGTGTCACAGGTGAGCTCGTTTCAACTGCTTTTTACGATGCGGTCTCATTTCCGGACTCAGTAATCTTGTGAATGAAGTCGATATTTCAGTTAAAATACATAAGTAAAAATTTTTATCTGAGTATAGTACTACCCCCCAACTTTATGGATGATTTTATGGATTTAATTTTACATATTATACTTGAATAAATATGGTAGATGTGAAGTTTCTAAGGGCTTTTAAAGGTAACCATATGTCTTCAATGCTGCCTCTCTTTTGACATTCCCCTGCCCGTCTATGCTGGTCTCCAAATTTATATTTGATTCACTTCAGATCCCATCCCACTGCTTGCAGTGAAACCACMTCAGCTCATAAACATTTATGTATATTTTAGAAGGTAAACATTAGCTGAAAACAAATACTCCACATTGGGAGTTTTAAGTATTGTGGTTCCACGTGCAGATGACTGATAAGCCAAAGAGGGTAACTCTGCTCAGCTGTGTTGGGCGGTAGGGTGAATGCACACAGATGATCCGATTGCTACTTGTGATTGTGAGTGTGTGCGTGTGTGCGTGCATGTGCGCACACACAGTTCTGTGTCCCTGCCTCTGGAAAGCAAATAGTCCTATTTGTTTGTTCAGTGATGGACGTTACTTCATTACGGCTGGCTGACGCCCCTCATCAAAGAAAGGAATTCATGTTTCAGAGGGGGAACTCCAGCTGGGAGCAGCATCAAATTTTCAACTGCATTAAGAACATAGATGGGACAGCATGATAGCAGAAGAAAGCAACTGTTACAAAATAACAAAAAACTAACTTTGATGTTTATCTACCAACACGACAACACAAATTCTAAAGCCCCACCCCCCCAAAAAAAGTAAGAAAACGGCATTATCTCCTCAACCAAATCAGCCTTTATCACAGGAAGATACATCACGACACCTTGCKTAAACAAAGACATGAACACAGTTTGCATATATATCATCCGTTCATCTGCTCGATGTGCAATTCATTATTTTTTATTAGGAAGGGAAAAAACATTTGTTCCCAGGCCTGCTACTGTATCTGCATGGGTGGAATGATTTTCACCTCTGCCACAAGGTGTTGGGCGGACTCATACATCACATGATTACCCCGAGCAGCGAGCAGGGCCGCCATCATCAGGGAGTGAATTAAAGATGATAGAAGGAGCTATTAATCACTGTGACAAAGCCCCTAATGGAGGTATGACCCAGCCACTGCTGACGGGACGCCAAGGGAACGTACCCACGGGACAAATGGATACATATGTTTACAGAGAATAACCTACCTGTGGACACATTCAGCCCATTCTCTTTCAGGTTTCACATGGTTTTTCTAATACTAATTGTGTTTGCTTGCTTCTTCTGCACATTTTAGTTTATCTTTCAAAATATATGATTGCTTGTATTATGTGTTGTTAAACATTAGGGTGCAATACACTATTTATTGAAGAGGCACCCCCCAAAAAAATAACAAAGTAAAATCATTGCACAGTATAGGGAGTGATATACAACCCTGATACTTGAGGATAGCTTTAGTTGTTTTCCTGCTTCAACACACCTGATTYAGTGGCTAAATTAGCTCTTCAAGGTGTCCTTAAATTTTGCAGATGCCTGTTAGACAAATTTAATTCAGGTGTGTGGAGGCAGAGAAATGTCTACAACATGCAGGAGAAAGGCCAAGTTTTAACACCACTGCTTTAGGAGAAGTTGGCATATTGTTGCAGATAAACTTCAGAAGGGTATGCAGTTTTAACAACAATTCAAAAAAATAAAAAAAATAAACAAAGGTGAGATATCATTCCTAACAATTGGAATAAAATTAATCTTTTTGGTTTTTGAAAATGTATCTCATTTAAAAAAAATTATAATTGAGAGAAAGTTGAAGCATATTTTGTGAAATCAACAAGAGAATAAAGGGGACAAATAAAGAAAACTTGAAGAAATCCAATTTAGCTACTTCCTTGTGTGACAGTGTTTAGGGTTTAGTTTTGTAATAGTCTAAATTGACAAATTGTATTCTGATAAACAAAACAACTTGAATGCAATAGCTAGGACATACAGTATTTTAATGCCATGTATGAATTGGGTCTTCGATTATAAAGCACAAATATGAACTCATGACTGTATGAGTACTGATCTTAATGCTTATTCAYCATTTGTTGTCTGTGATAATGGACAAGTTACTGACAACTCATCCACTGTTCTCCTCATTAAATGGGCAATATCATGTAAAATCAACTTTTTTGAGTTTTATATCATGTTGTTATACTCTCA